GTAAAAAAAAAAAAAAAAATCTTCCTCACCTCCCAAAAGTACTACAGTGTCACTATGGTGACACCGTACTGCTAGGGTGACAGTATGTTAAAAAAAAAACCCATAATAATATGAAAAAAATAAATAAAAATGTAAACCTTTTTTTGAAAAAGTATAATTTTTGGTTATAAACTAATCTGGGTTATTTTTTTTTTTTTACTAAAAAGCTAACTGAATAAATTTTGGCCAAGATTTATGAAGAAAGATTATTTATTTGCAAAATTTTATAAGAAAAACATTTTTTTTTTTAATTTTTGTACTTTTTCATTTCTATATGCTAAAAAATTCATATGGGTACAGTGTTGCATGGCCGCGCAACTCTCATTCAAAGTGCGAGAGCGCTGAAAGCTGAAAATTGGCCTGGACTGGAAGGGGGGGGGGGAAAGTGTCCAGACTGGAAGGGGGGGAAAGTATCCGGACTGGAAGGGGGGGGAAAGTGTCCGGACTGGAAGGGGGTGAAAGTGTCCGGACTGGAAGGGAGTGAAAGTGTCCGGACTGGAAGGGAGTGAAAGTGTCCGGACTGGAAGGGAGTGAAAGTGTCCGGACTGGAAGGGGGTGAAAGTGTCTGGACTGGAAGGGGGGTAAAAGTGTCCGGACTGGAAGGGGGGGGAAAGTGTCCGGACTGGAAGGGGGGGGAAAGTGTCCGGACTGGAAGGGGGTAAAAGTGTCCGGACTGGAAGGGGGGTAAAAGTGTCTGGACTGGAAGGGGGTGAAAGTGTCCGGACTGGAAGGGGGTGAAAGTGTCCGGACTGGAAGGGGGGGGAAAGTGTCCGGACTGGAAGGAGGTGAAAGTGTCCGGACTGGAAGGGAGTGAAAGTGTCCGGACTGGAAGGGAGTGAAAGTGTCCGGACTGGAAGGGGGTGAAAGTGTCTGGACTGGAAGGGGGGAAAGTGTCTGGACTGGAAGGGGGGAAAGTGTCTGGACTGGAAGGGGGGAAAGTGTCCGGACTGGAAGGGGGTAAAAGTGTCTGGACTGGAAGGGGTGAAAGTGTCCGGACTGGAAGGGGGTGAAAGTGTCCGGACTGGAAGGGGGTGAAAGTGTCCGGACTGGAAGGGGGGGGAAAGTGTCCGGACTGGAAGGAGGTGAAAGTGTCCGGACTGGAAGGGAGTGAAAGTGTCCGGACTGGAAGGGGGTGAAAGTGTCCGGACTGGTAGGGGGTGAAAGTGTCTGGACTGGAAGGGGGGAAAGTGTCCGGACTGGAAGGGGGTAAAAGTGTCTGGACTGGAAGGGGTGAAAGTGTCCGGACTGGAAGGGGGTGAAAGTGTCCGGACTGGAAGGGGGTGAAAGTGTCCGGACTGGAAGGGGGTGAAAGTGTCTGGACTGGAAGGGGGGTGAAAGTGTCTGGACTGGAAGGGGGTAAAAGTGTCTGGACTGGAAGGGGGTAAAAGTGTCCGGACTGGAAGGAGGGGGAAAGTGTCCGGACTGGAAGGGGGTAAAAGTGTCCGGACTGGAAGGGGGTAAAAGTGTCCGGACTGGAAGGGGGGTAAAAGTGTCCGGACTGGAAGGGGGTAAAAGTGTCCGGACTGGAAGGGGGTAAAAGTGTCCGGACTGGAAGGGGTGAAAGTGTCCGTACTGGAAGGGGGTGAAAGTGTCCGGACTGGAAGGGGGTGAAAGTGTCTGGACTGGAAGGGGGTAAAAGTGTCTGGACTGGAAGGGGGTGAAAGTGTCTGGACTGGAAGGGGGGGAAAGTGTCCGGACTAGAAGGGGGTAAAAGTGTCTGGACTGGAAGGGGTGAAAGTGTCCGGACTGGAAGGGGGTGAAAGTGTCCGGACTGGAAGGGGGTGAAAGTGTCTGGACTGGAAGGGGGTGAAAGTGTCCGGACTGGAAAGGGGGTGAAATTGTCTGGACAGGAAGGGGGTGAAAGTGTCTGGACTGGAAGGGGGTAAAAGTGTCTGGACTGGAAAGGGGTGAAAGTGTCCGGACTGGAAGGGGGTGAAAGTGTCCGGACTGGAAGTGGTTAAAGAACTTGTGAACAGTACAACAGCCCGGTGGGGAAGCTCACGTGACTAGGAACTTCCAGTCAATGGAACGGAGAGTGAGCGGTGATATCACGTACCTGGTGATGGAGGCCAATGGAGAGAGGGCTTCCCTTGTGGCTAAATCCGAACTCCCCTGAGAGTGGGACAGCGGGAGTCAGGCCCAAAGTTGCACAGGTTGCCTGTAGGAGTGCTGGTTGGTGGTCCACTCAGAAGCACAGCTGGTGCACGGCGATAGGTCTGCAGACAGGAGGCGCCTGTGCGTGGTATGCAAGCCCTTCCGGGCTTTGGATGTTTACTGGGTAGTCGGTTCAAGCCAAGGTCAGGTACTAGGTGGGAATCAAGCAGACGTAGTCAGATGGGGTAGAGTATCTGTAAGCCAAGCCGAGGTCAGATCAGGGGTGAGGCAGAGTAGAAAGGTCCAGGAGCAAGCTCAGTCGGTAACAGGAAATCACAGGTCAGAGTCACAGGAACAGGGCACGGGGAGCTAGAGATCACCCAGCAACTTGAGGAAGTGATGAGCCTCCTTATAAAGGCCGTCTGGCACCAGACTGAGGCTGATGTGTACTTCTGCGGCCATGCAGAGTACTGGCAGAAATGCCAGATCTTCCAGAACTTCTGCCATGGACAGGACCCTGACAGGTGAGTAGGCCCGAAATGAAGACAGAAAGTGGCCTGGTTGGTCCCACCCAAAGGGGAGCTTGCTGATGTTGCAGATGTAAGCTCTCAGCTTCCCCTACTCTCCCTGCTGTTAGTGCCGTCCTTCACAGACTGGTATGCTTTCCCTACACTAGCCACTTTGCAAATATGCACCAAAAACGCAGGGGCAGGGACCTAAAAAGACTCTTCGTGACCCTAGATGGACGCCAGGGTCACACTGATGCAGAGTAGCCAACCACTGCTCCCGGGAACCGAGGGAATCATAGAGAAACTCAGTTTCTCTTGACTTCCCCCTACAACTGCATTGCTGCTCCAGCTGAGCACCACCTACAGTGGAGAAAATGGACTGCACCTTCCTACAAGTAGAGAGGAATGAATGATTATTTTCTGAATTTCAATCATATTTACAGTTTTTTGTTTTTTTTTAAAGCAGAACACCAAGCGTGTGTAGCGTCCCCCTCTTGTTGGCATAAATTTAGTTTTTGGCTTCACTGTAGCCAGTGGAACTTGATCCATTGGTTTTGTGTGGTCGGGGATTCCAAGATGGGTGTTTGATTCCTCCCACCTGCCTCTGGAAGAAGTTTCCAGAATATAGGACAAGAAGATTCAAATATCCAGTATTAATATCTACCATTCCATAGCCAATCACTGGAAGGAGGCAGCCAGAAGGTGGTTGGGGAGGTAATATATGTTTGGGAGGCCCTTCTAGATTGTTCTTTCCTCTCCAGGAAGAGTTCCAGTTCTCCTGGGGCTGAGGTAGTGAGACAAGAAAATGCATTCTGGACCTCCGCAGGAGCTGAGCTGAGGGCTTGGAGGACATTTCTAATGAATTCTTGGAGGGCACTGTCTTAAAGTCCTGGTCTGGAAAAGGATCTTTTATCTACCTCACTGAGGATCTACCTGTGGATGCTGGGTGGCAGACAGCTCCTGGGACATTGTAAATAAAGATGTTGCTGGGTGTCAGGGTCCTGTCCATGACAGGAGTTCTGAAAGATCTGGCATTTCTGCCAGTACTCTACATGGCCGCAGCAGTACACATCAGCCTCAGTCTAGTGCCAGACGGCCTTTATAAGGAGGCTCATCACTTCCTCTAGTTTCTGGATGATCTCTAGCTCCCCATGCCCTGTTCCTGTTTCCTGTGATTCTGACCTGTGACTTCCTGTTACCGACTCAGCTTGCTCTTGGACCTGTCTACTCTGATTTACCCCTGATCTGACCTCGGCTTGGCTTACGGATACTCTCTCTCTCTCTCTCTCTCACTCCTGTGTATGACCTCGGCTATCCCATCTGACTACGTCTGCTCTGATTCCCATCTGGTACCTGACCTTGGCTTGAACCGACTACCCAGTAAACATCTAAATCCCAGAAGGGCTTGCATACCACGCACAGGCACCTCCTGACTGCAGACCTATCTCCGTGCACCAGCTGTGCTTCTGAGTGGACCACCAACCAGCACTCCTACAGGCGACCTATGCAACTTTGGGCCTGACTCCCGCTGTACCACTCTCAGGGGAGTCCGGAACTTTGCCGCAAGGGAAGCCCTCTCTCCATTGGCCTCCATCACCAGGTATGTGATAGAAAGGCTGCTTTAGAGAAGATTAGTGAGAAGTTTGTCCTCCCGTTGACTGCCATTATCGTTTTGGAGCATCCTATAACCAGGGGTGGACTGACAACTCATGGGGCCCCTGTGTCCTTGCCCAAACTCAAAAAAGCCTATAAAAAAGGTACCAGGGGCATCTCATGGGGCCCCCTACTGACCCCGGGCCCGAGTTTCCAAATGGTCAGTCCGCCCCTGCCTGTGACCCTAAACCCCTCTCCTATATAAGTTCTTAAGCAATAACTAGTAAAAAGACAGTGTGACAGTGCGCATGGAACTTGGATGGAAGCCTCTGTAGTACTGTGAGGGAACCAGTCTATTTCAGTGGCCCCTTGGGGGATGAGCGCTACACATGTAACCCCCGCCCACCAAAAAAACATACACACTGTACATACACCTACAGACAATAAAAAAATCATAAGCCTAAAAAATTTAATTGTCCTACAAGTACTTTTGGTTTTCCACTTACCTTCCAAAAATCAAAATGGGAGTATTTACTGAGAAACCCTTGCACATCGTTATCTTCGAGGAAGTCATCGGTGCAGATTGAGCAAGTTTTCTCTCCTCTCCAGTCCCAATAAGGAAGGGCAAAATTTTCGTCCCCTGTCAAGAGCTGAATTTGTCTCTCCAAGTAGAGGAGGCCCAGCCGATGCCAACCGGGAAAAGCAGGACCTTGATGGGCGTAGTTTGTGGTATCATCAAAGGTCCCATTCTTTAGAATTGGCTTTTTATAGAGTAGTAATGGATCCAGGAAAACACATCATAGATGGTGGCATCAACAAAGCGGTACGTGTCCTTGTGATGTGATGGCGGTCTCCGGTGTACAGGATGACAAAGTCCTGACTTTTGGTGGTTTTGGCCAGCACTAGGTAGCTGAAGAATCTTTTCCTTTCGAGCAAAGAAAGTTCTCGAATTTCCTTCCGCACAACAGTATTTTTGCGGTCACATTTTTCTCCGAAGTACCCGTACTTGCAGTCACCGCAGTCGTAGCCGCTGTAGTTACCAAAGCACTCGCAGGTTTTGTCATAGTAATATTTTGGCCAGTCCAAGCGGTCATCATCATATTGGCGTACTTGGCCGGCTGCAAAGGGCGTAAACACAACCCGGTTACGGCATCTGCCACGGCCCGAGCTGGACCCAGAGGGGCTGACGTCCTTCCAAAGAGGGCAACAGGATTTGGTCCGAAATGTGGAAGCTGTGGTGCAGGCCCGTGGGAACTGACCCTGGACTAAATTACAGCAAACTACGAGGAAAACACAGAGGACAATCATGGTTCCTTGCAGAGAAATCGACCCCTGGTGAAGACAATGAGACTAGAGTATCTGCGAATTCCAATCTAAATTAAAAAGAGAAAGATTTTGTAAAATACGGGGATATCCAGATGCATGGAAATCTAAAGGGTAATGATAATGTATATGCAGTAGGTAGACCTTGCACATTTTTCCTCTTTGCTGTTCCATAGGTGTTTCGTTACCACTTTGAAGAGAATGCTGAGCTTTCTAAGAAAATCCAGCACTGCCTGCTCGCTTTTTGGCTACCTCTCTCTAACTGCAAATTCTTCCAGCACTCTATGAGGAAGAGTCAGGAAAAGGGCTATATGTAAGTCATGCACAAAGCTGATCAGAAGGAAATCTAATTGTACCAAGCTACCTATAGCAAAACTTGGAAATTGCTTGGCAGAATTGTAAAGACCTGCCTTGATATTATTATTATTATTACTACTATACAGGATTTATGGCGCCAACAGTTTGCTCAGCACTTTACAATATAATGGGAGACAATACAGCAACAATACAGTTCAATACAAGAGGGTTAGGAGGGCCCTGCTCCTTGGAGCTTACAATCTAGGAGGGAGGGGCTAGTGGTACAAAAGGTAGTAACTGTGGGGGATGGACTGGTTGGAAGAGTAGAAGATTCCATTATTATTCTGAGGGCAGGATAGGCTTCCCTGAAGAGATCGGTTTTCAGAGATTGCCTAAAAGTGAGCAGAGTAGGCGATAGTCTGATAAATTGGGGTAGAGAGTTCCAGAGGATATGGGAAGCTCTGGAGAAGTCCTGGAGATGGGCATGGGAAGAGGAGACAAGGGAGCTAGAGAGTAGGAGGTCTTGCGAGGAGCGGGAGAGGGCGGTTTGGGTGGTATTTGGAGACAAGATCGGTGATGTAATTTGGGGCGGAGTTATAAATTGATGACACCAGCTGCTGGCTGCAAGTGGAAAATAAGACACGTTTATAAAGCATTGATACAAATTGACTATCTAAGGCCAAACCAAAAAAGCCCCTTGCTTTGGAGGGATCTTCTCTACACTTCCTGCTATGGCTCTAAGACAGGAAGTGAGGAAAATCTCCCTGGACCTCAAAAAAACTAGGCAATGAGGGAGATGCAGCAAATTGATGTGCTCATCTCTGTCACTGTGCTCTCTCCTCCTATCAGCCTGCTTCTTGTAATCTCATTGGTTGCTTGTGCTGCTTCTTCCGCTCACACTCCAGCTCTGTTGTGCAGAGATTGCTAAAGGCTGATACTCAGGCCATATTCAGGATCTTACACTGCTTGTATATAAAATACATGCATTAAATGATGTATTCGATATTTAGGAGGTGCAATGAACTGTGCCATTTACATATCTTATATCTGCCTAGAGTTCAGCTTTAACAAAAAGTGAAACACTGTCCCCATATCTTCATTACTCTCATGACTTTAGGCCCAGGTAGACAAATTTTATTACCACTACCAATGCCAGTTAGGATCATTTTCAACAGGTTTAGAGAGAATCTAAGCAATCCTTATCTAATGAACTAAGTTCATTAGAGGTCAGTAGGAAAAAACTGACCCTTACATTGGGGCCAGAAGATAGCCCTACAATGGTGCTTAGAATGCCACCACTAAAGATCGTTGGCCCTGGAACTATGCAGGCATCATCAAAGGGGTAAATCAAACTCAGCTTAAAAAACCCCAAGCAATCTCTGGAGGAACCCTAGAGTTCCACGGAACCCTGGTTGAGAATGCCTGGTCTACACTAAGAGGATGATAGGGCTTCTTTATCCTTGCATATACTTGATCAGTACAAAAGAACATGGGACCCTTGTAAACATCTACAGCAGGGGTGTCAACGTCCATTTCATCGCGGGCCGCATCAGCATTATGGTTGCCCTCAAAGGGCCTGTTGTATCTGTAAGACTAGATGTCCAGAGCACCCAACCCCTAATTACATCAGATGTCAAGAATCCCCCACCCTCCGTTACATCACTGTGCATCCCCTTTGGGGGCAGAGCTGGAAAGCAGAAAGTGCAGGGTCTGGAGGAGGACCAGAGGAGGAGGAGAGGAGTCAGTTACCAAAGTCTGCTGAATGCTGAGACCAGGGGAGGCAGAGATGAGGGGGTGCTGCAGCTGCACTGAGAGGTGCAGGATTTAGCAGAGGCGTTCTATTCTCCTCTCTGCTGCTGACCACTGAGACAAGGTGGAGGCGGAGACTAGGGGGGTACCTGCAGGAGAGGTGCAAGGGCCACATGAAATGGCCTGGAGAGCCGGATTCGGCCCATGGGCCTTGTGTTTGACACCTGTGATCTACAGGGAAGAGACTAGAACCTCCTATGGTGAAATTGAGGTCGGCAGGAAATACCAAGGGACACGCAAGATCAGGGGCGGACTGACCATTTGGAAAATCGGGCACTGCCCGAGGGCCTGGGGTCAGTAGGGGGCCCCAAGAGATGCCCCTGGTACCTTTTTCATAGGCTTTTTTGAGTTTGGGCAAGGACACAGGGGCCCCATGATCCCCTATTGCCGGGTGCCCCATGAGTTGTCAGTCCGCCCCTGCGCGAGATCAACAATTCTATAATTGGTGATTTCAGAAGAAGGCTGAGATGGTAGTTAACCTTCATTGGAACAACAGTTGTCCACTATCTTCATTACAGGTACATCTGCTATTTTACTTTTATCCTTTGCAACAAAGCCGGTAAATCCTTGAGGTTGAAGGAGGGAAGAGGTTGAATATGTCCCATAGCTTGCGTGGTTTGTCATGGCAGGGTCATGAGTCTCTGAGCTCCTTTTGAGGATCTAAAGTGGTCCAAATGGTCGATCGTTCTCAGTGAAGTGCTATGGAAAATAATTCAGTGTTACCTTGAAAAGACAAGCAAGTAAACTTTAGAAACCTTGTATGGTGTTACCCCCCCCAAAAGATGTCTCTTCAGCAGTTAGAAGCTTGAAGGAGAAGGGCCGACGTCTTGACTTCACCAGTTCTTGGATCCCGGTGCCAATGACCATCCCCGAATCTTCTCCATTTATATATCGGTAGAGGAAGACCCGAAACAGGAACTCTTCTATTTTTAGAACAGGCTGTACATTCTGTATATATCCTGACATTGTTTAATACTATAGGTGACTTCCTGATGACGACAAAACATTTAATCCATTATGTAATCCCAACATGATTCAAAAAATGCCACCGAGGTCATTCATGGCAATGTTACACTGCCATAAACTGTTGAATTAGTTATTATGTGCCCTTGTCCGCCTTTTGTTACTGGAGGCATCTTGCCAACCTGCAGAGGGGGAAGAGAGACTCCAAGGTGGGTTCAAGCAAAATAAGAGCTTCCTAAGACCCTGGGACAACCAATGAAAACCCAGAAGTGAATCCTACAAGTCCACCTAAGAGGAGACGCTACAAATGCCTGCTATGACCAGGGGCGGACTGTCCATTTGGAAACTCGGGGCACTGCGCGAGGACCCGGGGTCAGTAGGGGGCCCTATGAGATGCCCCTGGTACCTTTTTCATAGGCTTTTTTGAGTTTGGGCAAGGACACAGGGGCCCCATGATTCCCTGTTGCCTGGGGGCCCCATGAGTTGTCAGACCGCCCCTGGCTATGACCGATATCCAGGGCCGTGGCTAAGGGGGTACCACCAGTCCTCCTGTAGGGGGTCCAGGCCAGCAGGGGGGGGGCCCAGGCAGCTGGGTGAATCAGATGTACGTGGGGAGGTTGATTGGAACAGCGGAGGGGTGATTACTGGAACCGATCCCCTGTATGGCGCTCTTCTGCAGCAGCTGAAAGCTGGCTTCTCTCCTCTCCCTCCCTCTGGCTTTCAGCTGCTGCAGAGGGAGCCATACAGGGGATCGGTTCCAGTAATCGCCCCCACATCACCCTCCTTGTGCACCATATGTTTCCCCCTGATGCCCAGGCCCCCCTGTGTGCACCCACAGTGCTGCTGGCTTCCCTCCTTTCCTTTCTACTGGCAGCTGCAGGCACTAGGACAAATAGGATCCTCCAGGATGGAGAGTGGGGGAAGGTCCCAGAAATTATGTCCCTTTTACCAGCCCCTTCCTTTCCTGAATGAACACAGTGAGTGATCAGTACCGTTCACTTGCTGTGTTCATTCATAACTAAAGTACAGTAAATTGTGGGGGGGGTTTGCGAGGTGGGGGCCTGTCAGGTTGGCTGTATGGTGCCCCATGCTTCTAACAGCAGCCCTGTCTATATCAGTTGAACTTGCATCCTTTGTTTGTCCTTTTGAGAGGTATTAAGCCCCAAAACAAAAATGTGATATATACAGTTGTGTCCAAAATTATTCAACCCCCACTGAAATTGAGTGTTTTGGCCAGTTTGACATTGCTTTTGATCATTCAGTCATCTTGCTTACATTTACATTAAAGAGGCACTTGTAGGTCAGACAAATATAACATAACAGTTATAATGAAATAACCACAAATGTCTTTTCTGTGCTCACAGCATTATCAGTTTTATTCAACCCCCAAGTGACATTCAATCTTAGTACTTAGTACAGCATCCTTTTACAGTTATAACAGCTTTTAAACGTGAAGCATAGCTTGACACAAGTGTCTTGCAGCGATCTACGGGTATCTTCGCCCATTCTTCATGGGCAAAGGCCTCCAGTTCAGTCACATTCTTAGGCTTGCGCACTGCAACTGCTTTCTTTAAGTCCCACCAGAGGTTCTCAATCGGATTTAAGTCTGGTGACTGCGATGGCCACTCCCAAAATGTTCCAGCCTTTCCTCTGCAACCATGCTCTAGTGGACTTGGAGGTATGCTTGGGATCATTGTCCTGTTGAAAGGTCCAACGTCTCCCAAGCCTCAGGTGTGTGACGGACTGCATCACGTTTCCATCCAATATCTCCTGGTACTGAAGAGAATTCATGGTACCTTGCACACGCTGAAGCTTCCCTGTACCTGCAGAAGCAAAACAGCCCCAAAGCATGATTGACCCTCCACCATGCTTCACAGTAGGCAAGGTGTTCTTTTCATCATAGGCCTTGTTCTTCC